ACATTTATAAATAGGTTTATGAATATTCAGGATATACGAATGATACACAAGCAGTTTGGCTGTGAATATATCAAAGTTATTGAAAATAAATTTTGAAATATTACATTTTACTTTTTCAAAATTTGAGTTTAGGAGAAAGTTGAAATATATGTAGCTCAGAGTTAATTTTCAGGTTGAGCTCTTTATAGCCTTAGGTTCTACATCTAAAAGTCAGGGGTTACCTTAATACGTATTGGTCAGAAGACAGGTTAGGAGGCATGAATCCTGAGTTGGTGGGGTTTGTACACTTCCTATGTTTTTTTTTTTTTTAACTAGAGGAATTCTATTGTATTTTGTAAGCATCTGCACTATATTTTTGAAGAAGTGCTTCCCTATCTACAGTTGAAAATCAATAGTCTACAAAAATAGCACTCTATGGAATCTTATGCCCTGGGGAGGGAATTCAGGGAATTACTAATCCAGACTAGAAATGGGATATGTTTCACTTTAGGTGATATTAGGCTTGTGACCAGAATAGAAAGGACAAAAGTGAAGTATTATAATTAAGATAATATTCGTGGTGAACATGAAAATATTTTTAAGGATTGTAGCTTAACAAAAAGTACAAAAAATGTGTTTCTCATTCAGGATAATTCAAATTTTTAAAAATCATAAACTGGCTGAGGTGGCTCACACCTGTAATCCAGAAACTCAGGAGATTCAGACTGGAGAATTGCAAGTTGGAGGCCAGCCCGCACCACTTTGCAAGACCCTCTCTCAAAATAAAAAATAAGGATTGGTGATGTAGCTTGGCAGTAAAGTGCCCATTGCTTTAATCCCCAGTACCAAAAAACCAAACAAAAGTCAACAAACAATCCCCCCCCAACAATTCTCAACTTCTTTCAGATTGTCATTAAAGTAAATTAAAAACAAAAAAATACAAAATTAAAATCTCATTATGCAAAAAAGCAATAAAAGAAGTATTAAGAGGTCTTAATTTGTTATAATAAGCATTTTAATAGAAAGAATTAATGCACAGAGTTACAATTTAAAAGACTGCAAACATACCAAATTGTACCAAGTAAGTGATGTCAGAGAATTATCCTTTAATATTTAGAGCTTTTATGAGTTTATTCATTCATTTCCCCCCACATGTATTTACTGAAAAATGATGAAAATACAAGAAAAAAAGAGTAACAGTCTCCCCTCTCAAGAGAATGGGGGATGAAATTGCTGGGTCAGGTTTCATGGCAAGGATGGACTTGAACTTGTATTTGAAGGAAAAACAGGACTTTATAGAATGGAGGGAAATGAAGGGGTGTTAGGCAGAGCAAGGTATCCAATGTGAAGATGCCTTAAACCCTAGATAAACCCTAACTTTATCTATTCATTTATCTGAAAGAATAGATGAAGTTAGGGTTTTTATTGTTATTTTTTTGTTGGTGCTGGGGCTTGAACCCAAGACCTCACACATGCTAAGCATGTGTTATACCACTGAGCTTTACTCCCAGCACCCAATGAGGGTTTTTGAACATCCAGGTTAACAAACAAGGAAGTTTTGATTAATGGTGTGTTAGGCTCAGTGGAAGATATTGAAAGCAGGGAACTGTGAAGTGTTGGCTGTAATTGTCTAAAAATTGAGGAGGCAGAAAGAATAGGACTTTGTATCTCAAGATCTGACAAAAGGAAAAGTGGACAACAGTAAAAGCAAAGCAGATGAGGTACTGTGCTAAGCATAATGTATGGTTTCTGTTTTATAAAAAGTTTTATCTAGGGATTAAAATCCAAGTTTTGAATTCAGATGCATTTGACTCTCAGTTCTGCTCTCTGTCAAAAATACTATGATTTAATTTGGAGTTTCTAAGGCACTAACAGAAAAAGTGACAACTGGAATAGAGGCTGGTTTTAAGGGTAAAATGAGATTGTTTTGAGGTCTGATATACTGATAGGTTTTACAACAAGTATCTGGAAAAGTGGCATTTTGCTTTAAAGGTTGGTGCAGTATTGGAAGTTATTTGTATAGATGTGACGATTGATAAAGACTTCAAGGGATATGATTAAGAGTTGAAGAAGGAAAGAGATGACAAGGGCTTGACTAAAAAATAAGATTTTCAGGTTAGAAAGAAATAGGATCAGTTATTGAAAAGTCAGGGAAGGAGTAGAAAGTCATCACTAAAAACAATGATAAAGTGAAGATAGGGAAACATATCTGATAAGATCTATCTGAACTCTTCTGAGATCTTGAAACAAATTGATAGAAATTAGCACATGTTAGCTAGATGGAGGAACAAAATATAGGGAAGTTTTAAAGACAGGGCAAACTGGACCTCACAGCTTAATAAAAAAGAGCCAGTGGAAAGGGTTAAGATTGAAATACATTAGAAGAAAGGGAAAATATTTTGTAGAGGAAAAACGTTCTTAATTTGAAAAATACTGAAAATAGTAAATAACATCCATAATTAACCACAAAAGTTATGTAAAATATGTCAAACACCCTTCTTTTAAATTCTCGAATTTACAAACCTCTTTCCCACTGTCTCTTGTTAATAGTTTGGACAAGTCTTTTCCAACTTTTTCTGTAAATCAATCTCTCTCCCTCTTTTTCATCTTTCTCTGTTTTCCCTCATCTTGCATCTGTACCCAAATATATCTTTTTATTAAATAAAAATGAAATGCCACATACATATATTTTTTCAAATTACTTCTTCATATAGTTCATACAGCTCTTTCTAGGTCAATATACACTCCCAATTACATATCACATGTATCATTCTTTTAAACATCTATAGAGTTCTTTTCTTTGCCAAGTTCATATTTTTTTAGAGAGAGAAAGAGAGAGAGAGAAGAGAAGAGAGAGAGAAGAGAAGAGGAGAGAGAGAGAGAATTTTTAAATATTTATTGTTCAGTTTTCGGTGGACACAACATCTTTATTTTATTTTTATGTGGTGCTGAGTATGGAACCCAGTGCCCTGCGTGTTACGGCTTGAGCCACATCCCCAGCCCAAAGTTCATGATTTTTATAGAAATTCTTTCATTGAGGAATCTTTCTTGGCATTTTAATTCTAAAAATGTACTGCTGTGTTTTATGGGCTTAACAATGGTCCCCAAATGTGTTCACATTTTAAACTCTGGAACCTGTGAACACTGTTTTATGTGGCAAAAAGTGCTTTGCAGATGAGATTATTATTTTATTCACCTTGGATGGATACTGATATGGGATTATCCTGGATTATGTGGTGAGCACATGCTCATATCCTTATAGAAGGAGGGAGAGGGAGATTTAATAATAAAGTTGGGGGAAGCAGTGTCAGAGAGACAAAAGATGGTATGCCACTTCCTAGGTAGGAAGATGACAGAAGCCTAAGGATACAGGTAGCGTTCAGAATCTAGTAAAAGCAAGGAAACAGATTCTCCCTTGTGTCTCCAGAATAAGCTAGTTCTGTTGATCTCTTGATATTAGCTATAAAAACTCATTTTGAATTTCTGTCCTTCAAAGTATGAAAAGATAAATCTTGGTTATTTCAGGTAACCAAGTTAGTGGTAATCTAGTAAGACCTTATCTGAATTTAATTATGTCTGCAAATAACCATTTCTAAAACAGCTCAATTCACAGTTAGGACTTGAACATAAGTTTCCATTTTAATTTTTTAGCGGGTACACTGGGGGATTGAACCCAGCAGCTTTACCACTGAGCTGCATCCCCAGTCCTTTTTATTTTTTATTTTGAGACAGGGTCTCACGAAGTTGATGAGACTGACCTCAAAATGTAGTCCTCTTGTTTCAGCATCCTGAGTTGTGAGGCTTATAGGCATGTGCCCCTGTGCCCAGTTGAATGTAACTTCTTTGGGGGCTATAATTCAATCCATACACTCATTAAAATGAGTCAGTTCAACCTGCAAGTTCTTTTTGAAATTTGAACCCTGAAATTGCTATTGCTTTACTCCAATGACAAAATTCTGGATTTGGGTTTTAGAAGGCCTCAAAGGAGATAGAAAAAGATGGGTGGCTATTTGAGGCTAATGAGCTTTATGGGGATCAGACAGCATCCCAGATTACATAACATGCAGCACATTACTCTTATGGAGTTCATAAAATGCAAAACTAAACAATATACTTTTACACACACACTTAGGATGTGTGTGTGCGATATCAATACATGAATATACCGAAACAAAAGCAGCAGAGTGATGGGAGGAGTGTGACAAGATTCCGCCATGTGGTGTGTTCCCAAGTGTTTTTTTTTATTATCCATTACTTAATATTTATGTATGTGTCTGTCAGCTTTTTTTGTTGTTGTTGTTGTTGGGGGGCGGTTTACCGAGGATTAAACTCAGAGGCACTCACCACTGAGCCTCAGCCCTATTCGTATTTTATTTAGAGACAAGGTGTCACCGAGCTGCTTAGCGCCTCACTGTTGCTGGGGCTGGTTTTGAACTAGCAATCCTCCACAATCTCAACCTTCAGAGCCGCTGGGATTAGAGGCCTGCGCCACCGCGCCTGGCAACTGTTCTCGTGTATGTATTCTTATGCAATGAAACACAGTACTAGAGTTAGGCTTTAATGTATAATTGTGCCTACATGAACACAGTTTAAAATAATCAATACAGAGATGATATAAAATTCGTTTCAAGAAAGGAGCTTCTTGCATTCAGCGTAGAAATTGACCCTGTCTCATCAAGTTTACTTTTCCAGGTGTTACTGAGAAAATCTGACAGATGACAGAGCGTTGGGGAAACTCGCATTAATTATGAAAATTAAATAAAGGAATCTGTAGTCCTATAAGCGTCGCGCACTAACAAGCCAGGAGGCTCCCAGTTTGACAAAAATCATTCCCAGATTCCCAGGTCCCACGCTGCTTCACCACCTTCCCAATGAAACCCTTTTCATGCAGACTCCCAGAACTAGCAAAAATTACCCTATTCCAAAATGGCTGCAATGCGCACGACATCCGTATAGCGCATGTCCGGAAGTTACGCAAACCCATAAGGTAGCGCGCTCCAGGAGGCGGGGAGAGTTTCCGCCTTTTTTGAAAATTGGGAAGGTCCCGGTATTCGAGTAATTGCCGCGGACGCGATGGCAGCCTTTGCCGTGGAACCCCAGGCGCCCACTCTGGGTGAGTGAAAAACTGCTTTTCTTTGCTAGCAGCGCCATCCATGCTGTAGGTTTGGAAGCGGGCAACACTGGACAGCAGTAATCTACAGTCTGGTATGCTGGTTTCAATTGCGAAGGAGCAGCCTCTAAGTCTCCCCAAGTTCCTAGTCGGTACCCTATTCAAGGCGTCGCCCCCGTGAGCCACTGGAAAGCAGGAGGTACCAGGAGGGGGAGGAAATAGCTGTGACTGAACTGTGAGTTTTGCCTCCGTACGCCGGCTGCGACATACTGGCCAGTACCTGAGACTCACTCCCACCAGCGCTGGAGATTGACGGCTGGATTTCGGGTTTCCGGGATTCCCGGAAGCGTCCTGGGGAAGGGACTGAGTAGCGTACACGTGGGTGGGCGTTGTCCCTGAGTGTGCGGTCACAGTCTACTGCTAGTTTGTCGCTTGTAGTTCTGTTTTGAGTCTTTCCCTCTCTCGGGCTTTGCAAAAGAAATCCGTTATTAATGGAAACGTGAATCGTGTGAAATAAAATCATCCAGGTGGTGGTAATCATTAAGTTGCCCTTCATAGCTAGGAGTTCCTAAGGTTTTTTCCCGCCTTTACCTTGGGAAAGTGGCTGTTTCAGGTTTTTTCCTCTAATTAATAAATCATGATATGATTTTTAAAGATTCATTTCCATTTTTTTTATTGTGAAGCCTTGTTAAAATATGTCATCTTTGAAAAAATTTATCCAGTTAATATGTTGATTCCTTTTTTTCCCCTCTTGAGTTTTGCGAGTTGTGACAACCGTGGAAAATTTTAGAAGGGCCGGGGAACCTTTCTACTATAATATAAACTTACCTTAATATTAGATTATAACTTTTTGAGTTTGAAAAAGGATAAGAGAGAAAGCAGACATGATACATATTATGTAGAATTATTTTTTTTCTTTTGTAGATTTGAAGGTCATGGGAGGCTTCCCACGTCTTGTGTAATATAAGTTCCTTCTAAGAATAGAATATCTTGAACTGTTTTGGCGTGTCATAAACAATGCTTAATGTCAATAATGCAGATACTCTGCTACATTAAAACTTGTGTTCAGACGTTGATTTAGGTGTTTGTTTTTTGTATATCTTTGCAGAAATTTTATTTTCAGCTCAAGGTGTTCAGTTCAACAAAGAGTGTTTTTGTGATTTCTGGTGTTGGGAAATGAATCTAGACCTTGAGCTTGCTAGATTAATACTCCACCGTTGAGCTTCATCTCCAGTCCTCCACAAAGACATTCTGGAGTGTATATTTGTTGGGCTTAGAAATGTGAATAAATCTATTCTTGTTTATTGCCTAGCCAGAAATCTGATATTACCTGATGTTAATTGTTCAAAGTCCACATATTGCAGATATTCCAAGGATCTATTGTTATAACATTCTCAGTACTAGTGTATTAAACCAAAAGTTTACTTGAACAAATTGTGTTAATTGCAGTACTTAATATTTAGGAGCACAGACTTTAAAATGAAATTTAAGACATACAGGTTTCAGTGGTTAAGGTTCTCTCTTTAAGTGAAATGTAGCCCTGAGGGATGATTAGTGACAGAGTCCAGATTAAGAGCCTGTTGTGTCCTCTTCGCTCTGGTGCTTTCTACTGTATCAGTACATATTTATTTACATATATCAGAATTTTTCTTGATCTAATTTATATACTTGCTATAATTTTTTTCCTTTGGGGGAATGGGTGAAGGTAGGCTGTGGTGTTACTAAAAACTTTGTATTTTGTTTTGGCTATCTAAACATGTTCAGAATACCTTTTTTTTTTATTGTTGGTCGTTCAAAACATTACATAGTTCTTAATACATCATATTTCACAGTTTGATTCAAGTGGGTTATGAACTCCCAATTTTACCCCGTATACAGATTGCTGTATCACATCAGTTACCCTTCCATTGATTGACAAATTGCCTTTCTAGTGTCTGATGCATTCTGCTGTCTGTCCTATTCTCTACTATCCCCCCTCCCCTCCCCCCCTCCCCTTTTCTCTCTCTACCCCTTCTACTGTAAATCATTTCTTCCATTTGTATTATCTTGTCTTACCCCTCCTTTCCTCTTATATGTCATTTTGTATAACCCTGAGGATCGCCTTCCATTTCCATGCGGTTTCCCTTCTCACTCCCTTTCCCTCCCACCTCTCATCCCTGTTTAATGTAAATCTTCTTCTCAAACTTTCGTCCCTACCCTGTCCTTGTTTACTCCCCTTATATCAAAGGGGTCATTTGGTATTTATTTTTTAAAGATTGACTAGCTTCACTTAGCATAATCTGCTCTAATGCCATCCATTTCCCTCCAAATTCTATGATTTTGTCATTTCTTAATGCAGAGTAATACTCCATTGTGTATAAATGCCACATTTTTTTTATCCATTCATCTATTGAAGGGCATCTAGGCTGATTCCACAATCTTGCTATCGTGAATTGTGCTGCTATGAACATCGATGTAGCAGTGTCCCTGTAGCATGCTCTTATTAGGTCTTTGGGGAATAGACCGAGAAGGGGAATAGCTCAGAATACCTTTTGTTTAGACTTTTTGCTTGAGCTTAATGTATTTTCTTTGGAAGTATGTAGTATACCACATAATAATTGCACTACAGAGTAATTACAATGTAATTATATTTCTTCATACCTTATTTCAGTGTTTATCCTTTTCTTGAATTACTTTGCTGTTTTCTTCTTTCTGCACTTGTATCATTAATACTTATATCTATTATGAGAAATAAGAGGAAGAATAAATAATTGACAGGTTTTGGGTAACAAGAAACAAATTTTTGAGGCTCTTTAGAAGTTCAGTAAAAGTTAATAAAAGCCATATAAGGAAGATATCAAACATTTGACTTTTCTGAGTACTGTGAATCATAGGCTTGTTACCTAGTTGTAAATTTTCTTTTCATAAATATAAATTGTAAGTTCTTCATTTATACATTAATCAATAAGTTCATTTATATGTATACTGTAAATTGGGACAATTAATTTTGAATTGATGATTGTGAGATATTAGTTCTTTCTTTAAATTGGTTTTATATTAGGGAAACTTTTATTGATTATAGTGGTCCTAACTTTAATGATTTGAAAAATGATCCAAAAATGAAAATTTACAACTCTTTTCAATATATTTCTGAGTTGCCATATTTCACTGCGTAATCATCACAGGTTTTATGCCAAAGTTTTTTGCAAAAAAGTGGAGTGTGACCATTATGTGAAGCTTTTTTTATTTTTCTTAAAAATTACTTATTACTAAACCATCTTTGGCTGGCCATGGTGGCCACTGACTCCAAAGATTGAGGAGGGTCACAAGTTCAAGTCTAACCTCAGCAATTTAGCAAGGCCCTAAGCAACTTAGTGACAGCCTGTCTTAGAAAATAAATAATAAAAAGTGTCTTTAATGCAAGAGTAGTATGCATGGAATGCTTGTGAATATCTATTAACATGGCAGTGATGATTATGGTGAAATGCAGTAGGATGCCAGTTATCACTGTTATTGTATTAGTGTTTTTATGTGTGCAGGATTATACTTTTATTACATGATTCACTATTTTTGTGTGAGGGGAAAAAGAAAAAAGCTGAATCCATTGTTTATGATTTACCAAGACTTAGTGTAAAAATGTAGTATACTCTGCTTGTTTTCAGATGTTGAATAGTAGAAACTGACCCAGAAATTGAAGTTATTCTGTTCATATAGGGATTTTTTTTTAGATAATATATTAATTTATAAATAAGTGTTGATTTTAAGACAGTGAATTAATGTAAACAGAAACATCTGTCAAAGATTAATATGTTGAACACAAGATAATTTTACATTTTTCTAAAAATTTTACTAGCTTTGAAAATAAATTCAATTATGCTCTGTAATACTTAAGAATTTTGATTAAATTCTCAAACTTGAGCTTGATTCTCATAGTTTTGTTAGGTATTGTAATGCAAAGTTCTCTAATTTTTTTTTTATTTTTTTGATTAGGATCTGAACCGATGATGCTGGGTTCACCCACGTCTCCAAAGCCAGGAGTTAATGCCCAGTTCTTACCTGGATTTTTAATGGGGGATTTGCCAGCTCCAGTGACTCCACAGTCTCGACCAATTAGTGGGCCCTCAGTAGGAATAATGGAAATGAGGTCACCATTACTTGCTGGTAGGTGAATTGCTTAAAATAGTTTTATAGTATATGGAAACATGGTCGTGTATTTTAAAAGAGCAGTGGTGCAGCATTCATTCTCATCAACTAATTTATCGATTTAAACAAGTTAAACAGTACCTCTAATATAAAGCAATTCCCTTATTTTAAGACTCTTGGAATAGAGGTTTAAATATTATAAGCTATTATAATTTCAAGAACCACTCATTAAAAATATGTGTGCTGTATTTCATGTGATCTAAGGTTCTGTATTACCACTAAGAAAGAAAAAACAGTAAATATGACACAATTTTAAGATGTCATTGTTTAAGAGATATATTTAAAATTATGTGAAGGGGTGTGGTACCTTTTAGAATTGATGAAATATATTCAGCTGAATTCAATTTAAATAAATTCATGTTAGTATATAAGAATAACACATGTCAAAGAAGTTTAATTAGAAAATTTGTAGACATGAATTCTACAAATAGTCATAATGAGTATGTTAACTTTCCATCACTGTGATAAGAATAACTGAGAAAAACAACTTGTGGAAAGATTTATTTTGGATCCTGGTTTCTGAGGTCTCAGTCTGTGATCACTTGGCTGCCTTGATTCTGGATCTCCAGTGAGACAGAACATGATGGTGGTAGAACAGAACTGCATATCTGATGTCGGCCAGGAAGCAGAGAGGGAGAGAAAGGGTCTGGGGACAAGTCTCCAAGGGTATGCTTTCAAGGACCCACTTTCTTCAATTGGGTCCTTCCTCCTACACTTTATACCATCTTCTAATAGTCTAGTTAGCTATTAGTCAGGGACTAGTCCACTGATAAAGTTAGAGCCCTCATTCTCTAATCACTTTCCAAAAGCCCCACCTCTGAATATTACTGTTGGGGACCAAACCTTCTAACACACGAGTCTTTGGGACATTCCAAATCTAAAGTACAACAGTGAGTTAAGATTCTCATTTATGTATAGTTTTGTTTTTATGCAAAATTTGCATTGTCAGCACAAAGTATTGTAATCCAAATTGAACCCAAATTTATTACAAGGTTTCTTTAGTAAAGTATATTTTAAAAGAGAACTTTGAAGTGTTAGTTATGAGTAGTGAGAATTTATTATAGAAATGGTAGAATCCCAACTGTGAGCTAATACACTTTTAATAGTTGTTTAAATGGAAACCTTTTTTAATAGTCTTTTAAAGTATTGTTGTAAAGTGGTTAATTACCCTTTTTTGGGGATTGATCAAGGAGAATCATAAATTATATTTGAAGTAATTTTCTTAATTATTTTCTGGACAGACTTTTTATTTTAAATGTATTATTTTATTGTAGCTACCATCTATTGAGTGCTGTGACTCAGGCAGTATACTCATACTAATCATTTTATGAGCATGCCCTTGGAGACTTGTCCCCAGACCCTTTCTTTTCTCCATCTTTCCTCTTACTCTCCCTGCTTCCTGGCCACCATGAGGTGAGCAGTTGTTTTCTACCACACCCTCCCACCATCATGTTCTGTCTCACTAGAGATCCAGAATAAAGACAGTCAAGTGATCACAGACTGAGATCTCAGAAACCAGGATCCAAAATAAATCTTTCCTCAAGTTGTGTTTCTCAGTTATTCTTATCACAGCAATGGAAAGTTAACATACTCACTATGAGTATTTGTAGAATTCATGTCTACAAATTTTCTAATTAAACTTCTTTGACATGTGTTATTCTTATACTAACATTTAAATTCAGTTTATTTAAATTGAATACACACGTTTAGATGTGGTGTCTCATTTTTAAGAAGTCAACTTTAAAGGGTAGGTTGTCTTATTATTTTTTAAGAATTGGCTTTAAAGGGGGTAGTAGTATCTCCCTTCCTATTTTTTTTGGGGGGGTACTGGGAATTGAACTTGGGGGCACTTGACCACTAAGCCACATTCCCCACCCTATTTTGTATTTTTAGAGACAGGGTCTCACTGAGTTGCTTAGCACCTCACTTTTGCTGAGACTAGCTTTGAACTCATGATCCTCCTGCTTCAGCCTCCTCAGCCTCTGGGATTAGAGGCGTGTGCCACCATGCCCAGCAATATCCCTATTTTTAAAAAAAGTATCTCCATTTTCCAAAATAGGAAACTGAGGCTAAGTGTAATGAATAATTGGTTGAGGCTCACTTATTAGGGACAGAGTGGAATGTTAAAGCCCTGGTCACTCTCATTCCATAGCTTATGCTATACTGTTCAGGCACAGATATCAATTAGTCTTACAGAGGGCCTGGGCTGCTTCACTGTAGCATTGCTAAAGATATTTTTATGTTTAAAAAGTTTCTCCTTTTTTTATGTCTTTATTATCTACTTAATATACTTAAATATATTTCTACTTTGAGAAAAATAAATGAGACCCCCTTTAATTGTGGTAGTTAAATTCCATATTGGGGGATTATAGTCATTCAGGTATACATGGAATAACTTTTTTTTTTTTTTAAGAGAGAGAGGAGAGAGAGAAAGAGAATTTAATATTTATTTTTTAGTTTTCGGCGGACACAACATCTTTGTGTGTATGTGGTGCTGAGGATCGAACCCGGGCCGCACGCATGCCAGGCTAGCACAATACCACTTGAGCCACATCCCCAGCCCTGGAGTGACTTTTAAGTGACAAATAGGAGCACATTTTGTTTTTTGAAATGGGGTCTCACTATATTGCCCAGGCTGGTCTCTAATTCAAGTGATTCTCCCACCTCGGCCTCCTGAGTAGTTGGGACTGCATGCCTATCTGTGGGCACAGTTTGTATTGATATATTAAGCATTTTGTAGACAAAGCAAAATTTACATGTTTTCTAAAACTAAAATTCCTATTAACTACTTTTTCTGAAACCTTTTATTTAAGTGGTCTATGGAACAGCAACATTGGCATCACCTGGGAGCTTATTAGAACTGCATGACCTCAGACTCCACCCTACACTTTCTGAATCAGTCTGAGTTTTACCAAGATCCCCAGGTGACTATTATGCATATGAAAGTTTGAATAGTCCTAGGAGACAAAGAGTTTGTTAGTATTTCAAAACACAAATTTAAAAAATCTTACTAGAAAGATGAAAAATTCCTTTGCTTTCTCACCTGTGTTTCTCGTACATCGTAGGTGGGTCACCACCACAACCAGTTTTACCAGCTCATAAGGATAAAAGTGGAGCTCCACCTGTTAGAAGTATATATGATGACATTTCTAGCCCAGGACTTGGATCAACACCTTTAACTTCAAGAAGACAGGTGATGTACATATCCTCTTGGTCCAGATATTCATTTTATGTTTTTATGTGGCTATACAGTGAGGGTCAGTAATTTGAAAATTTTCTCTGTGGTTTGTTCAAGTGTAACTGTGTTGCACAGAATAAGAATTAAGTACATTTGCCATGAATTGTACTTAAAATGTAGTAGAACTCTTTTAAGTTTTTTTTCATGTATGTAGTTCTGTGGTTTTTATAGGCATGCACTCATGACTCCAACATACTTAATATATATGTGAATATGATTATGGTTTAAGTCATTCCAGTTGTTTAAGAAGATCAATATTTATACATAATTTTCTGAAAGGGCAAATGAAAATCCAGGGTTTTGTCTACATATAAAGCACTTGGCAAAGAATTGAGATCTTTGTTTTGTGCATGTTTTTATTAATGTAAGTCCAATACCCCTTTTTTTTCTTGTTTACTTATTTTACTAAAATTGCTTCCTGTATATTTATGAGTTGATTGTTTAGTATATTCCTGGTGTAGGTGTTTTGAAGGTAATATTAAGTTTTGGTTGGTATAGGTGTTCTGATGGTGTTCTTTTCATTTTTTCATTATATTCAAAGTAGAGATTCTCAGTTTTGATGGGACTAACAACAATAAAGTGTCCTAATACTTAGATAGTACTTGCTTGCCATGTGCAGGCCTTGATCCTACAATTTCTCTCTTTTTTTGGAGGGGGTGGGGACCAGGAATTGAACTCAGGGGCTTTCCACTGAGCCACATCCCCAGGCCTATTTTGTATTTTTATTAAGAGACAGGGTCTTACTGAATTGTGTAGTGCTGAGGCTGGCTTTGGACTCGTGATCCTCTTGCCTCAGACTCCAGAGCTGCTGAGATTACAGGCGAGCACCACTGCACTTGGCTTTTTTTTTTTTTTTTTTTTTTTTTTTTGAGAATAAGGAAAAAGAAGGTTTATTCTTGGCTAGCAAAGGAGAAACACAGGGACTCTAGTCCTAAAGGCTGCAATTCTGCCCATCAGCAGAAACAGGGAGCTTTTAAAGAGGTGAATCAAAGCTATATGTCATGTGTTTTCTGTCTGGAGTTGTAATTTACTTGTTAATATGGGAGATAGTCATTTCTGAGATCTTCTGGTATCATCCCCTAAGTTGTTCCTATGATGGATGTGTACTCAGGGACAGATATATCTGCTTAGGATGGGGAAGAAAGGTAATCCTGTGTTTCCCCAGAGATTAGGGAGGAGAGAGATTAGGGAGGAGCAGGGAGAGAGGAAGAGAAAGCAACAGGTCTATTTTAAAAATAAGTTGTAGTGGCAGAGCAGCAAGGGTTATATTCAGAGTATAAAGTGGACCACTGTTACATTTCCCCACTGTCAATTTCTTTCTTTTCTTAATACTTTTTAAGTTATACATGGACACAGTAACTTTATTTTGTTTATTTTTATGTGGTGCTGAGGATTGAACCCAGCATCTCACATGTGTGAGGCAAATGCTCTGCCACTGAGCCACAATGTCAATTTCATTCCATTTTTATGGAAAAATGAGTGACAATGTCTCCCAACTGCTTCGTACTAAAAGGGGGTGAAGTTGGGGGAAGTAACCCAAAGTCCTTGTTCTATATCAGTTGAGTGTGGATATTTAAGGGCATTCAGCATTAGAGCAGTAGAAGATGGCAGGTGACTGGACAAGGCATACATAGGGCAGGGATCAAGCAAGACAACAATAAAGACAGCAAAGCATTACATTTTTTGTAAATAATTAGCACAAAAACAATTAGTAATTCATCCAGTCTCTGAAAACCATGAGGATAGTAACTCATAATCTCATCAGTTAAAAACAGATCATGTTCATAGTGTAGGAGTTTAGGAAGATTTGTAGGTCTTGGAAATGAGACTCAATTCAGGACAAATTTGTGACTCTTGTGATCATTATTACTAGGGACTCTAAAGAACCTTTCCTTTATAACCTCCAGGTTACTTGTGGTAGGACTAACGCAAGTGTATGTCTTAAGTTACATTAAAGAAACCATTGTTTTCCTTTGAAATGTCCATGTAGGACTGTGCTTTTGGGCCATGCTCTTCTGCCAGGTATTTAAGACCAAGCTGGTCAAAACTGACCTTATTCCTATCTACTCTTAAGTGTCAGCCGAGATTCCTCAGAGATCATTCTTGGGGACATATGCAAAGCCTTCTGGTTCCTTTAGCTTTCTTCTACTAGTGAGGCCACTTGCCAGGAGGGGTTGTGGTCTGGCTGACCATATGGCTCCTCTTGGAAGCATCAGGGACATTTCTGTTTCTGATGACTCTTCTCTTTGCAGAATGTGCACTGATTGGCTTCCTGCTTTAGGGTTCTCTCAATGTCTCTGATTAGTAGATTGGGTGACTCACCAGAGTTGCAGGGCCCAGAGAGGTCCCATCATTCTCTGCATTCTAGCTGACCTTAGAGGGCAAGGGCCAAAATATTAGCTGTTTTTGCCTTGGCCCTTTTACTTCCTTGACTTTGGTCTCCAAGTTTTTGATTTTAAACACTCAGCAAGCCAGTTTTAAAGAGGGAGTAACAAGTTATAACTTCAATTTCTATAATTTTACAGGTACCCCTTTCATTTAATTGGGGTTTAGTGTTAGTACTGGGAGTCAGCATTTTATACGATGGCACTATCTCAAATTAACCCAGACTGCTATCTTTTTTTCTTTTTTTTTTTTTTTAAATAAGCAGTACCTCTGCAAAATACTAACAGGCAACAGTTATAAAGTTTACAAGGAAAATACAAATTAGATTAACAGTACAAAAACATACGCACTTTGTGTAATAGCTATGAACCAAGAAAAATAACTTTTATAGTCTTGAACCTTTACTTAGTTATATATTGTATTCTCTGAGATCACAGTAATCTTTACAACAAAAATCAATCTTTTGAACACAACTTTAAATGAGCTGAAGTCTAGCTTATTTTGGAGCCATTCTAACATGGAATAAGGTGGCAGAGCCTTATCTCAGGTAAGGCAGGGTTTTTCACAAATAATACAATATAGCAGTACATCTGAAACATGAATCAAAGAAAGGCTAAGAGAGCTTTTAACTTTGTTTTTGTGGAAAAAGTAGAAGAATACTTCCATGTTTTATAGTGTCACCTTTAAATAGGTTAGGCTCTCCTTATTATGTTCCAAAAATGCATTTAAAAACCAATTCCAGTGTGAAGAGTAACACAAAATTGTATATATAACTTATTGACAACAGGTTACTTTATCTAGCTATAAAATATCAAATGATATGAATAAATATCAACCAAATTTGTTATTTCTATACAAATCCAAGAATTTTGCTACAGATAATTTTAGTTTGTGTAACATCAACTTGGCAAAGTGATCTCCTAAGCTTTACATTTAATTTTTTTTTTAAAGAGAGAGGGAGAGAGAGAGAGAGAGAGAGAGAGAGAGAGAGAGAATTTTAAATATTTATTTATTTATTTATTTTCCGGCAGGCACAACATCTTTGTTTGTATGTGGTGCTGAGGATCGAACCTGGGCCACATGCATGCCAGGCGAGCGCGCTACTGCTTGAGCCATATCCCCAGCCCCAATTTTTTTTTTAACAATACCTTTTGTTTTCATTTTATGTGGTGCAGAGGATTGAACCCAGTGCCTCATGCATGCGAAGCAAGCGCTCTACCACTGAGCCACAACCCCAGCCCCTTATTTAGAATCCAAAGTGTATGGTGACAATAATCACAGGTCTGCATGGGTTAAAAAAAAAAAAAATCAAAGAATAGCCTTAAATTTCTTACACATTTAGGAAACAGTGTTAATGATTAGAAATTAACTTGGTGGAAGCAAACATATATAAAACAGATGACAGTGTGGCCCTTCTATGTCAGATACAGTGTATAAAAGAACATTTATTGCTTACCTTGCAGGTAAACTTAAAAAACTTTCATTTTATAAACTTTTACATAACACTTAGACAAGGCTCAGACAAATATAGTTCTCAAATGAAGGCATGTAGCTAGTCACATATATTTTGGGTGTCAACAATATTGTTATAACCAAAATAACAGTTGTTTGTTTAACCAGTTACAAAGTAATTATTTAGGACTTTAAAACAAGTAAAACCCTAATTCCTTTTAGACTTAGTTTCCCCAAGTAATAAAACCTAACCAATACAAGAAAATTATCGATAGATAAGAGCAGATCAGTGTTTCAGACTTTGTTTCATATTAGGACTATAAGTTAAAATAACCTCAACTGACTGCTAATTATAGCCAGTTTAATCACAAACAAACTTTTTGAGATTTACCATCCAGGAACCTTCTGCAACATAGTACTTTACATTCTTAGTTTTATCCTCTTCATCTTGGACTTTATCCCAAGAATATTACTTTACCAGACAAAATACCTTTTCATACAGAAACATTTCTTTTACTTTCTTCTTACTAAAATATATTTCCATACCTGTAACTTTCTTTTGTCTTTTCTAGTTTTAGACCCTTTATTAATAGTCTTTATGAATGTTATCTGTGCATTTAACTTATACAACAGATTTCATCCCAGGAGAGGGTTGTATAATCCAGCATATAAAAACACTGTTTCTTAATCTTTTTTTCTCCCAGATTCACTCAAGGGGTTGGAGCACAGGATATTTTTGAGCCTGACCTGTCCCCGTTATCATTATCACAATGCCATCAACTTTTTTTTTTCCCCCAAGAGAAAATGATATTTCACTGAAAAATCTAATACATAGCCAAATTTTCAACAAGTATAAGAACAAAATCAAATCATTTTCAGAAATGCAAAGTTGTCAAATATATATTTCCCACATTCTTTCACTTGAGAATATTTTTGTCAACAAAATAAGGACAAATCCCAAGAGAAGCCACTAGTTATAACAAATAATGGTATTAACTTAGGCATCTACTAAAGTGAAACCCTAGAAAACACATCTAGTAAGCAACACAACAGAACACCCAAGAAAGTAAAAAATTCTATATAATAGTTACATTAATAGAAAAAAATACAAATATGGA